CTGCCTGCAATGAATGATATGCTCAACTAAGAATATTTTTGCTCTGTAGTTGCATGAGACATTAGTGACTGTAATTGATTTGGCATTAGTCTCGCCCAGTTGACTTGGTTTAACAGATTGCACTGAGCATCATAAGTTCTTGCAAGTAGACATATAGAATTCTTTAAAATGCTGACTTGAGCTGGCTCTGCATGAGATAATTCTTACATCACTTTACTATACTGTTTTCTTGAAATAATTTTTCTGTCTATATAATTCCCAAGTTTTCATGAAGAGAAGTTTAATATTAATTTTTCCAGTATCCTTAATTTTACTGAAATGTGTTTACATGTTTTCATTTATTGCTGAGAGTGACACAGAGTTAGGACCCAACAAGTTTTTCTCTAACAAAAAGAGATTAGAAATAATGTGAAGCAGTAATGGTCAGTGAAGAGTGTAAAACCAAGTCTCTTGAAGCTGGTAAAACAAGTTAACAAGAGATTTGTCTCTGTGGACAGGTCAATATGTGGGCAAGCCTGGATATAACAGGTAGAAATCCCTCACAAAAGCATCTTTCACCTTTCTTGCAACATGAGAGTTTGCCATGGAGGTGAGAAGAGCCTGGAGTGGGAGCAGGAATTGGGGAAATTGATGCAGAGCCCTCGTGGCCAGACTCAAGAGGCACTGAGTGGCTGTGGCTCCAACTTTAAGATACATCAGTGAATTGGGCTGGTTTTATAGCCACCTGTTCACTCACTGGACTAACAGCTTCCTAAAAATAAAGTTAAGATTTCTCCAGGTTTGAGACTATTTTTCATGTTATTGCAAGTTCTCCTTTTTTTTTTTCCCCTAGGACAAAGGAAAAAGTTACAAGACCAGATATGTTTCTGCTGTACTTCTTGCCCTATTTGGAGTTAAATCAGGAAATTAAAATAATGATTAAAAATTGCATGTCATGCCTGAAAATCACATAATTTTATCAAGGGACTACAAAGGCTGATACAATGGAGGGATGAGCTAAAAAGATCATCCCGAGAAGTCAAAACTATGGCTATGAATGAAGTTTTCAGAGCAAGGAAATAAGAACAATAAAGTCTCCTTCAGGTGTATGAAGTGGAGTGAAGCTGACAAGAGAAGACATTAGACCACGGCAGGATATTTGAAGAAAGTTAATAAAGAAGGAGGGTAATACAGCTGCAGAATTTAATGAGGTCCCTGTAGTGTTTGCAAGAGGATCTGGAGTTGGAAGCAAGCAATAATCATCATGCCTAAGTTTTTCAGAAAGTATTGTGCCTAAAGGCCATCAGGTTAATGTTCAGATTTAATGAAAAAACATACATGCACACACCAGAGGGGTAAAGCACACATCAGATCTCTCCCACTGACTTCAGTCTCTGCTGAGGGGGAGGGGACTGAAACTCGCTCAAATATAAAACTTGTTCAAACACTGCATAAGATGAGATGAAAGAAAATGAAAACTATGTGTCCTCTTAATTGAATGTACACTTTGATTATTATTTTTTTAAGCAAGTTTCCTTGACTGATTTTAACAAAATACCCAACCTTTTTAGGAAGTTCTAATACTTTGAAGAAAATTATTTGGAATGTAAAGAAGAACAGACATTTATGTTAATGATGTTTTGTGCTGTGTCTGGCCCTAACCTTCCAGGTTCATCCTGAGAAATCAGCCTCAGAAGAGGAACCCCAGGCTCCTGCAGGCTGTAACACCCCAGATGGAGCTGCAGCTCTCCCAAAGCCCTGGGACTTCCTTTCCAGGGCTACAAGAATTCTCAGGAGCTGGGAGGAACTGGACAGGTGAGCTGGAAAAAGGATTGCTTTCTCAGGAAGAGGTTAATTAAAGAGTCAGACTGCTGGTAAATATTTAAATTCACAGGAATTCCAAGGCTTTATCTGACAAAGTAAATGCCACCGGAATATTTGTGTCTAGCTTTAACAGGCAGTCCATTTCTCATATCTTAATACTACTAAAGTTACTAAGCCAACACCACATATTATGAATAAATACCTGGTTCAGAGTCCCTGAAATCAATGCATGTTCATTGACAACTGTGGGCTTTAGATTATAAACCCTTAAGAAGACATTACCTATTTCAAATGACCTCTTATTATGCAGTTAAAAGCAACCAGAGATAAGACATTTTTGGAGCTGATAAAAAGCCTCCAGAGCAATGGCTCTCAAAATTAGAGTTGCAGCCTCAAGACAGGGTATGAAGAGTTTTTGCTGCAGAGTCACGACACACTCTACAAACTTAAGGTCTCATTTAAAGAAAATTACTTCTAGCTCTTCTGGCAACAAAGATAAACTTCTGAATGTAAATATCTGAAGCAGTTTGGTTTACTTAATATAGAATTATAGGGAATACCCAGTTCATGATGCTTTCTACAAGGTTAAGGGTTTTCTTTCTATTCTGGTGATATAAATAGTAATAATAAAAAATTGCAAGTGTTATATATAGGTATTAACCAACCAATCAGAAAGTATTTCAGCTGTGTTTCTGTGTTTGATACAGCACCAAAGCTCCTGGCACAACTCAGAGCACAGAAAGGCTGTGAAAGATGACACAATGGGAATGCCTTGAATTTAGGGTGGTCTAAAGACAATTAACTTGAAGTTTCAAATGCAGTGTTTGATTAAGGGAGAAAAGGTTTAGACAGGGAAGATGAGATCCTGACATTGGTTTGAAAAGGAGCACTGAGGGAGTCACAGAGGTGTTTTCTAGGACATTGGGGCTCACTGAGGATGGAAGGTTAAAAACCACAAACAATCCCTCACCAAGAGCAAGCTGGGTTCATCTGTGAATATCCTGCTCCCCAGGATAAAGTTTCATTACACGTGGGAAGATATCCTTTTGGGTGACTGGTTATATACTCCCAGAACTCAACTGCATAAGCACTGATCAGTCTATAACAACAGAATTCCAACTCAAAAGCACTGGCCTTGTACAAAAGGTATCAGATAATCCAGTCCTTGTTTCCATCAAAAGCACAATCTGATGCTTAGTAAAGTTGAAAGATATTACAAATTCACTTTTGTCACATTAGAAAATTATTTTCTTTAAGAAAAAACCAGAAGACCTGAATTTCTCAGTGCTGCAATAGAAATTCATACAGAGAACTCAATGTTTTCAGAGGTTTAGACTTTCTTCTGCTGTAGTTCAAAACAATTGCTGCTTAGAAGGTCATTGTTCCCTGGCTTGCAGGGGTCTCATTTACATAGAAATGGAACTGGCATTAAAAGGAAATAAGAGGTGAATTTTTGAGGAAAAGCCATTCTACAGGGAAAATAAAAGAAAAATATATGGAGAAACAAGCAGACTAAATCAGTGTCCAAAGCACTGAGTAACACACTCATATTTCAGTACTTCACATCAGTCAAGCATTTGGTCTAATAGCACTGAGCTAAGCTGTTGTCATAAAACATAGAAAGGAATTTAAGAGGAATTAGGGAGAGCTGCAAAGAAACAAGGGGAGTAAAGAGACAAACACTTCTGAGAAAAGGGAATGAACCTGACAAGCAACTGGTCCTACCCTGTTCTGTAGATTTTCCAAGACTAAACCTATTTAAAGAATAAAATTATTGCAAATCTGTCCCTACAGTTACTATAGTGATAATGAAAACCATTAAAATGAATATTTGATAAATGAATAAATGAATAAAAATGAAGGGAATAAATGAATGGTAAATGAATATAAATACTAAATGGCAAAAATTAAATGAATAATTCTCTTAAATGAATAAATCCGCTGTGCCTCAGTTTGTTAGTGCTCTACACAGATTAAGTTCCTCTTAAATGTCATCTTGAAAGGAGTTTGCATTGCACCACAAGGATCTATATGCTGGGGGTTGCCAGGATAATGGAAAGTAAATATCTGCATGTGTGACATTGCTTGGTTTCTTTAGCACACACCAAAACTGACAATTTAGTTCTTAGTTACATTTTACAGTCACTGCAGCCAGTGGCTGTTGCAGAGGCAGCAGTATCTTGATTTTTTCCTGAGCTATTTATTTCTCTTATAGCAACTGTGTCTCTCCCATACTGATATTTATTGAACATTGATATTCTTAGCATTGTACAAGACCCAAATACCAGCAATGCTCAGCAGCACAGTCTAAAAGTCTAAGAGGAGAATGAGAGCTGAAGACAGGGATGTAGGAAGAGGGTTCAACACAGCAGCAGGTCTTCAAAGAAAGAGAAAAAAATGAAGAATTAACAGAGCAAATACTTCATCTTCACAGGGAAGAAATATTCCAGAGATATGGATTGCAGACAGAAGGAAAGGAGTAAATACACAGGGTGAGGGGAATAAGTGACAGATGGAATTATATGGTCAGAAAAAAAAGAAATATTTGTCAGTGGTCAACATAATTAAACCAGAAAAGAGTTCCCTAATTCACAGTGCTATTACTGAGAAGTTTACTCTCTGGAAGGGCCAACCTCATTCAGCTGCTCTGGCTGGAATTAACAACAAGCTGCTACCTGGTCTTTGCTCTTGCATTGGCATCAATATTTGTGTGCAACTGCTTCCTTCAATCCTTATTTAAATATTTCTGGTGTGACCTGCTGCTAAAACAGAAAGAAGAAGTTTGACTAGGGACCTTGCAGAATCTACCAAGAGTAGCTTAATTTTTTGTTGTTCTTTAAAAGAAAAATGCAGCTCAACTCTACTGGGAGTTTTTTATCATTTTTAGCTGTGGAAAATTAAACTGTCCTTATGCTGTACAAGATGTTCCCCTTCTTCCACTCCCATGATGCTAAATTGTGAGTGTTCTGCAGAAGCACAAGCCCCAAAAATTGAGGAACATGGCAGTCAATACAAATAAAACCCCACAATACACATCAGTATGTACCCCTCAACAAATGAAATAAATAATTGCCTCAATTCCTTAGGTTCGAGCACCAGGTTTAGTCTATTTTAAAACCAAAATTCCACCTCTCTGTAAACCAAGCAATGTAAATTCTGCTCCAGAGTCACATAAATCTCAAAATAAAACTGCATACCTGGAACCCTGCAAAAAAGGATGAAACTTCAGTCCTGTTTTGAACTTCTGCTGGAAGTTTTAGTTCATTTCTCCTCTCATCCACTGGAAGAAATGCAGTAAGGAAAGATACTCAGAAAACAGTCAAAATCATCATGTGTTTCTGATTTAAGCACACCCTGCTTTGGGATTAGCTCTGCACAGCTGCTGTCAGTTGGCCAGTAAAGTAATTTTTTCTGAATTGGATCTCACTGGGGAGTTAAGCTTGTCTTTTTGGTAGCTAAAACCTGCAAACTAGAGTCAGTAACTTGTCTCTTGAGGACATCCTTGTATTTTGGACTTGTGTTTCTCATTCCAGAATGTGTTTCTTTGCCTTGGTGCTTCTTTAACTGACTTTTATAACCCAACAAAAGTAACTTGTCATTTGATAATTCCTTCCTATCGATACCTTGTGCAATTTCTGTTCCTCAGTTCTGAAATCAATATTCTATACATTATAACACACAATTCCAAATACAAAACTCAGCATGAAAGCAACAGAGCAGTCTAAGGATGGGTTCATATCTCCTTTTTATTCAGTGAAAGTGTCAAGACCTGCATCCCCGCATTTTTTAGACTTGGTGTTTAAAATAAAATTACCAGTTAAAAACAAGAAGATGTTAATTAAACCAGAACAACCAATAGGATGCCCAAAATCCATTGAACATAACATGCTTTTCCCTGTTTCCCTTGTTTCCTTCTTCTGCTTACTAAAGTAGGATATAGCCAAGAAAAACTTGGTACCTATTTCTACTTCTCACAATTTATCTATGCCTTGGTCTTGGTAAATTTACAGAACCAAACTTACACGGCATTTCATACCTTTCAGAATGTCTATTAATCTTACAGCAGCAGTTTCATTTGATTGGTTACCTTGGCATTGAAGCAATAACTGGGAAAGGAGTTTTAATAGTTTTCATTCTCTGCACTGCATTAGAACACATTTTTTCCATTATCTTTATTATCTTTGCTATCACTCTATTGTTTGCCAATCCCCAAACCTGTTGATATGCCTCAAACAGTTCAACTCCTTCAGTTAAAACAAGACTGATTAGCAAAAAAATCTGGAATACGAAGCTCAGTGGGATTGTGTTTACTCAATAAATGCCAAAGAGCCATTTCGTGCTCCTTATTCCCTTTTATAGCTATTGACTGAAATGTTGCATCAGTATCAATTATAGGGATTTGAAATGGTGAGAATGGTGGAGAAGCAGAGAATGAGATTTCATGATCACATCAAAGCTATAAATACTGTCATTCTTACTGTCTAATGTCCCTTAAGCTTTATTTAATGGTTAATTGATTGCTAAAAATTCTTTCAGGTTCATTTAATTTTCAAGAATGTGGCCTTGTTAGTATGTTGGCAGAGCCCTTTTTTTTTTTTTAAACAGCAAAGTTATATATTATGTGGCATGAATTATAAAGCAGTTGTCATGGAGATGTTGCTAAAGCAGGAGCCTGTGTGCTGTGTACTTTGAAAACTGCAAAGCCTGTGTGTGCACAAGCACCTTTCCTGCAGCTGCTGCTTGGGGTAGCACCTGGATGGTTCCTTGCACCATTCCTGGCTGTGATGCTCTCACAGTGCTACAGGCAGGTACCTCTTGCTTTACAACTTCCCAGGCATGAAACTGGAAATTTTAGTGGTATTCAAAGCCTGCAATGAGGCACAGAACTGAAATATATTGAGTTGTTCTGAAGCTGATGTCTTATCAAAGAAATGTAACTTGACACAGAAATGAAACAGGTCATCTTACAAGCTGAGATCTAGGTCTACTTTGGCTGCTTTGATATATCAATATTAATTAATTTAGCTACAAAGAAGCAGGCACAAAAAAGCAATGTTAACGAACCATGCTTGCAATCTGGTGGCTCAAGATTTGCTTACCTCTGTAAGATTTTGGTAAGTAGGTTACAGAACTGTTTCCCTCTGTTTGCACAGCTGTGAAATGGGGACATTTATGCCTAATTATCTTTATAAACTGCTTTAGAGCTTTCAAGATTGAAAACACCATTTGGATGTTAGGAAAAAACCCAACACTTCTATCTCATAATTTTTTCAAAAGTTTATACTCATCCATCTCTCTTAAGAGTTGTACTTTATTTTATATGTGTGCAATCATATCGATCTTAAGCAACTTCTATTCTTGAAGCATCACATTCCATCCTTGAGAATCAGTTTGACAATGTTTTTGCTTGCATGTTACCAAAGAGCACAAACTGGCATGTTGTTCTGTAAGACAAGTAGCTCTGGAGGAAGGTTTGCATTATTACAGAAACTCATAACAGATCTTGCTATCATTTGTGGTGGTTCCTGCAGAAGATTCTGGGTTTTCTGACAGGGAAAGCAAGATAAATCCTTACTTAAAATTGCTAAGTAGATTGCACATTAAGCATCGAGTTCAGTCTCTCATATTTTCATAAATATGTAGAAAATCATGATGCCTTGCAAAATGAAACTTAAGAGAGCAGTTCATGAAAAAATTATATGCTCCATTTACTCTGGCCTCCTATGTACTTTATTTTTTATTAACTCACTTATCCTTTTTATACAGGAGACCATGTCTCTAATCTGCACCCCAGAGGGGTGGGCAGCAGGCTGGGGGGGAGTTAGCCAAAACAGGTATTTGCATTTCCAGCACAGAAATCACGTTCAGAAATTCACCCCACATGAGGAAAGAAATGAACCATCCAGACTTCTGCTGGTTTGTTTCTTGGGTGGTTTTTTTTGTTGTTTTGAATATTTCATTTTAATCTAGGTGAATGAAGAGAACACCCAAAAAAACCCCCCCAAAAAACCCCAAACCCACCACAAAACAAAACAAAAAAAAAGTGTAAAAACGTAGACAATTCTAAATGGCTTTTGTGGACAGCAACAGGGAATTTACACACCCCAAAACATTTTACTGATAGGTTTACTTTTAGAGAGAAGACAAAAATACAATTAAACATTAAACAAGATGAAGTTAATAAACTTTTTTCTCCGGCTAAAAGCAGATTAAGTTAGAAATGGAGATGTTGAAGAAGGAAACACAATAAAAACTAATGAAATGCTGTCAATTTACCACTAAGGATGAAGAAGGAAAAGTCAACAAACATGTTGGAACACAGCTCCTTTTTTTTTTTGGTCTAATTTCTCATACTACAAAATGATACTTGGAAATAATTGGTGAACTTTCTGTGCTTTATCATTCACAGTACCAAAAAATAATCCTCCTGGGAAACTATGATGGATGTCATGCTATCCACATTTAGCTGTAATTTGGAGGGCATGGTTTCCTTTCCATGTTGAAATGACCTGGAGTTTAAGATTAGAGAGGAGCATTGTGTGTTAAAATACCTGACCTTTAATCCTAATCATGGGACAAAAGTTATTTAAATGATCTTAAATGAAGTTTAGTGTCCCCAATTTGGGCTTACTGTTTGCTGATTTCAGAAGATGTTGACAACTCCATTTGCCAAAATAAACAAGAACAGTTCCTCTCCCTGCTCTCCCCTGCTCCTAATGAAAACCAACAGAGTGGCTCAGACCTGTCAGGAAGCTCAGGAGCAACTCCATGTGCTCTGCAATATTTAGTCTCAAACTGAAGGGTAGTCACAGAACACCAAAGTATATCTTTATTAGAAGATATCAAACTTCAGTTTAATGCCCCAGTGCAATTTTTGTGTTCAGCCTGTTAAAACATTGGTTACAATTTCATTGCACATCTATAATGGAAATTTTGTTCCTTGGTGTGAGAGCAACATCTGAATGAAATCAGAGACAGGAAATTGTGTTGCCTGATGAGCCCTGATAATTACCAGAGTTTTAACTGTTAGACTGCCATAGACCCTCTTAATAGCAAAGCAAGAGTGACACCAACTTCCATAAATTTAATTTCATTAGTAGTGCCTCATGCAGATTAGAATGCAATGCTCTGGAATTACAGTAAAATTAAGTAAATTTTTAAGCACAGCTAACCACTGAGGGTGGGCCTTACTCTTCATCCTGTAAGGCCTTGTTTGCTCCCCCCATGTCACTTCAAAAGGATGTGCACAGAACTGGAAAAACAACAAAGTTATTCCTACCATGTGACCGTGAGAATGAATCATGGTCCTTGTTCCTATTGTGCAGCAGAAAATGGGAGTGTGGGAATGTGTAGAGACATTCAAGTAATCATTAATCCTTTTCTACTTGTCAATCAAAAATGTTGTACTCTTGGGGTGAGAATATGTTTGGCTGAGAACAAGCTTTTAGTAAAATAGAGTTGGCAGATGCATATTTGCAGATGCTCATGAAAGATGAATCACGACATTTCCTGACAACAAACACACCAAAATGTCTGTTTTGCTACTCTCTTTCCCTTTGTGTATTGCATCAGCAATATATACTGTATATGTTTGTATATAAATCAATTCTACACTAACAAAGAAAATTCTTTACTTTCTACATTAGAACAGAACAGTATTGTAACAATATCCTGCCACAAGAAAAATGGTGAAGACATCTGAAATAATTGAATAGGTTATTTTGATTTGGTTTTATTTAGGTTACGATATTTTGGGTTTGGTTTGGTTTTTTCCTAACTATTTTTCTTTAAATTAATGAGTCTTGTAAGGAGGAAGACTCTGGCTAGCCTACAAAAACCTGTTATTGTAATATCTACCCATTAAAATTCTAGCAAGCCTTTGAAGCTGAATGCTGCACTCTACAAGCTGTGGCCTCCCAGGTGATATCTACAAGAGATCCATCTACTCTGACCTGTTGCAGACCCAGAGCATCGAATCGATATCAGTGAGACTCAAAGAAGCCCTCAAAACACAGAGGCTACTAATGGAACAAAGGTAGAAATAAATTTCTCATCAAAGGCTTCAGCCTTTAAATTTTATAATACCTTTGTTCATGACTAAGGATTTTTCCCTAAAAACAAATTTAGTGGTACCAATTAGTTCTTTAAAATGGGTTTAAAAGCAAATAATAGCAGTGCATCATGGTAGTTCTTTACTCACAATCATTCTGCTTGAGCACAATAGTTACATTTGTCCAAACATTATCTTCCAGGCACCATCCAGCCTTGGCATGAGGAAATCCACAGCGGCTGTTCCTCTTGACT